GCAGGGAGGGAGGGATGAGTTCCCAAATCCCCCTGTTCTGGGTTCCAAGGAGCAGGAGGGACGGATGGGTTCCCAAATCCCCCTGTTCTGGGCTCAGGGATGCAGGGAGGGAGGGATGGGTTCCCAAATCCCCCTGTTGTGGGTTCAGGGACGCAGGAGGGGCTCTCACGATGTGCGGGCTCTGGCGGCTCATCCCGATGACGGTGCGGTTGACGCGGCGCAGCAGCCGCTCCATCATCAGCTGCACGTGCAGAGCGGTGGCGCCCTGGGGACGGAGCAGAGCGGGGCTCACGAATGTTCTGGAATCCCAGGAACCCCAGGATTGGTCACAGCATCCCCAGGAGAGCCCCCCTCGGGCAGGGGGATTGCCCTGAGAGCACCCAATCGCCATTGAGGGAGCCAACCAAGGGAAAAAATGTAAATTTAAAGGGAATTGAAGGCCACGAGTGATGGATTTCAGTGCTCTGGGGCTCTCCGGGTGCAGAATTCCCTCACCGGGTCTGTCCCGGCCTCACCAGCCCAGCTGAGCTTGGCTTTGTTTGCTCTGAGCAGCAAAAAATTCACCTCACAGCACTGCAATTTCTCCAAATATCCCAATTTTGACCCCATACAGAATAAATCAAGGATGATTCTTTGTTGTGATTTTGGAAAGGGAAGAAATGAGCTGGGCTGACCCCACTGGAGGAAAATTCACCTCACAGCACCGCAAATTCTCCAAATATCCCGATTCTGACTCATTACAGCAGAAATGGAGGATGAAAGGGAAGAAACAAGCTAAGCTGATCCCCTCCCCAGCTGAAAATTCATCTCATAGAACTGCAATTTCTCCAAATATCCCAATTTTGACCCCATACACAATACATCTTTGCTGTGATTCTTCACTGTGATTTTGGAAAGGTAAGAATTGAGCCGGGCTGGCCCCATGGCTGAAAATTCACCTCACAGCACTGCAATTTCTCCAAACATCCCAATTCTGATCCATCATAGCAGAAATCAAGGATGATTCTTTGCTGTTATTTTGGAAAGGGAAAAAATGAGCTGGGCTAACCCCAAATATCCCCAAATATCCCAATTCTGACCCATTCCAGCACAAATCGAGGATAAAAGGRCAGAAACGCCCCCAGGAGCCCCCGCTCACCACATCCTTGCGGTCCAGCACCTCCAGGACGCTGCTGAGGAGCTGCGAGCTGCCCTCCAGGTCGGGTTTGCTGCAGCGGTCATCGAGCTGACCACTGAGCTGGTCAG